CCCCCACCCCGCAACAAATATTACATCATCATGGCTGAGATTACTTGTGGGTCTGCTAGCTTTTAACGAATAACTGAGTTAAGAAGGAGGCATTAACAGAAGAGAATTTTCAAAATAAAAGACAAAAATGCATAGAAAATCAATCATATATAATAATGAATTTGCTGCCTGGTAATGAAACATTTTATACAGTCTGTGGTGAAAATAAAGGATAATACATTTCACTTTTTAWCCCTCCTCATTTACAAAATATGATAAAATTAACTGTCCTTTCGGCAGAATAAATAGTAATTGAATTATAATGCAGTGTGATGTAAAACACAAGGTGTGTAAAACTGTAAACTAACTTTATTGTGTTATAAATAAGTGAAGTTGTGGTGAAGAGTTGAGACAGTTGAACAACAACAACAACAACAACAACATGATAAACAACAGAACCACAGGCTGCAGCTTCTGGTACCGAGCAGAGACCGAGGCTATCACCGCCTGACTCTGTCCAACTCACCCGGCTCAAACTCCGGGATGTTCGCCTGGTAGTCGGCTCCAACCCGCATCCCCACATCTGGAAGASACGCAGACAAACACCAGAGATGATTTTAGCTTAATGAAGCCCTGAAAACACGTTCAACCCGAGCAGGAAGGAGCTGTTCGAGGCTACTACCGTGTTCGTCGTCGCTGCCGCTGTCGTCGGAAAAATGTCCATTTGAAGCGTTGGACGGGCTCTTGGTGCCGTTCGAGCGACATTTCCCTAAATATTCCGAGCCTTTGTCCATCATCCCCGGCATCTCTGAAGCTTTTTCACCGATTCTCGACGCCGTGCGGCGGTCTAAGATGTCAGCTCGGACCGGACGGCTCGTGCTGCTCGTCGCTTCGCCGCAGCTGCAGCCATGTCGCTGCAGCGCTGTTGTGTGTCTTTCTCACCGTGCAGGAACAACAACTTTACGATAAAACACGAAGCCAATAACAGTGTTAACATTTGTTGTTGCTGAACTATTGTCTAATAAAAAAAGAAACCACCCACAAAGAAATGTATTCGCTTTGGAGTTCGGAAAGAGACGGGACTAGTTTACGTRGCGGAATGTTATTAATGTACGATCAAGTGGCAGTACTGAGGCTCTACTTTAGCTAGTAGATTCTTCCGCAAACATAATAAAACAAGTATTTATTAACATTACACATACTAAATCCTTAAAAAACATTACACTTAATAACTTATATACATTTAAAGGAGAAAAACTGCTTCAAATAATGTATAAT